TGTAAATGTTTATAAATCATCTCGTCTTTTGAGTTGTACAGTAAAATTTATATGAAAGGTTAAAATATTTCCTGCACCAATTTATCTATCCCAATTTGATATATTGCTGTTATAATTTTGTAGTTGAAATCAATTGCAAACTGGAAACGGTAATTTCTTTTCATGAAATCTCCTTTTGATGAATCTCGCTTTACAGACTTGTAGTTGGACGCGGCGAGCATCCGCCAAACCCAGACGAGCTTAAGTGACTACATTGTGCCGATAAGTAAAGTTTGATGATGGCAGCATCATGGTGTGGGGTTGTTTTTCATGGTTTGGCCTGGGTTCCTTAATTTCTGTGGTTGGAAACATGAATTCTGAGGTATATGTGGACATTCTGGATAGTGCTGCTTTCCCAACTCTTTGGCAAATTTCGAGGAAGGCCTATTTCTCTTCCAGTTGGATAACTGCTCCATTCATGCATCGAGACTGACTTGCGCAGCCATGTTTTGACGAAATGGTGTTCAAATACTGGACTGGCCTTCTCAAAGCCCCGATATAAATGCCATAGAATACCTTTGGAACGAATTTAGAACGCAGATTACGTAGCCAGCCAAATCCACCATCCTCACTACCAGCTGCTTTGACACCTAAAAGTCAATTCCTATGGCCACCTATCAAAAACTAGTGGAGAGTCTCCCCAGGCATGTGCAGGCTTTCAAAAAAAATTGCAAAAGGGGAACCAACATCATATTACTATATGCCTCATGACTCTCCGATTCCGTATCACTGGGTGTCCAGATACTTTTATCCAGATGGTGTATATTGGTGGTCTCAAACTGGCGTCCCCGAAGCATGTGTGATATAAATCTTATTTAAAGATACAGATTTGATAGATCTTTTTTATATTTTTCAAAAAGAAAAAATAGCTTTGCTTGGGAATGCATTTATATCTAAACATCCCCCCCCCCGCAGATGAAAATAAAGTTTTAAGAAAAAAGAACTGGGCAGATCGATGAGCATCTGTAATTCATGATAACGACAGTTTCTAATAATTTTTTTCCAAGGTACAAACTTTGCCAAAATCGAAATGTCATGAATAAAAAAGTTTGTAATTATTTACATGTAAATGTATGTATTTTTTTCTGTACGCGTCAGAGAAAATTTAGTAAATAAAAGAAAGATAATAGGTTGTCGTTATTTATTCTCACGTTGTTCCATTCGGAAGGTTTATAAGTTTAAATTTTTTCATCTGAGTCATTATTATTACCGTTTATGTAGGTTTTAATAAATATTTAGTAAATAAGATTTCAAATTGTTTAGTAAAATTTTTTTTATTTAAAAAAAGAAAATAAATAAATGGGCCCTTGAGCTGGTTTCAGATTGTGCATTCGGCCCGATGCAATTTGATTTTGTATCCGCTGTACTGCATCACCTATAGATCCGTTGAGACATCTCATACCTCTTCCAAATGCCAGTTTAAAACTACGCTCAGTGTCTCATATTCTTTTTCCAGGATGAAATTCTCTTTCTAAGTATAATAAATAATAATATTGGTAGGAAAAAATACAAGCAGAGATAAAGCTATCGTTTGCCTAATCGTAATCCAAGTTCAGGTTCTCGCCTCCCATAGCCAAACAAAGAAGTTGGGTGGCGATTCCATATTCATGGCACGGGGCAGGCATCTCTTTGGTAACACGTTTATAAAGGCTGATAATGATACTTGAAAGATGGGCGAAGAAATTCGTTGTGAACTGAAAAGACCAAATTTGATTAGAAGGGAATTCCGACTGATGCGTTACCCTCCCTCTCGGTTTTCTTTTGGGGTGGATCTCCCCTCTCCTAATTCAGAAAGAAGAAAATAAGATGAGGCTTCTTTGTTTGAATACATTAACTTGAAGTCTTTCTTTCGGGTGGTGTTATTTTCGTTATTTGTAGTGTACTCTTCTTCGACCACCTGGGTTCAAATGAAGAATGGCGTTTCATTATAAAAAGGGATTTCGACAGCTTTTCTTTCCTTTTTATTTTATTTTTCAAATTTTTCCTTCCCTTCAAGTACGTGACTTGGCGAAGTCTTTCGCTGCCATTTGTGTGCCTCAGATGGTTGACATTTGAGGATTTTCCTTTCCACTGCTCTTTGTCATCGCAAAAATCATATCTTTGGAATAATTGACAGGTTGTTTTCGGTTTAAGGTTAATTTGCTTATATTTTAATGCATAAACTTATTAATGGAATACGAGAGGCTTATTCGAATTCGCTTATTTGCTTTAAAAAAGAAATTTTTTTTAAATTTATTTCCTCGAAAGAAATCTCTTTGATGTGTTTATTGACTTCAGTTCGCGAATTTCCTGTGCTGGCCAAATATAAGTTGTTGCCTGAAAGAAATATTTGTTACAAGTTTTAAAGATGCAGTAAAATAAATTCACAGCTACGCCTTGAATATTAATTCTTTTCTTTATTTAATAAGTGCACAAATGTCCACGTGGCGGTAATTTATGATAAATAATATCATAAGAAATCTCCCACTCCAATATTTCGCAATTTTTTTTAACACCTCATTTTAAATATAAGAGTTTATGTTCTGTTTCGATAATTTCTGGGAAACTCTGTAGGGTTTATTTTAATTTTCTAATAGTTACTTTTATTCTGGAACAAACCTTTGCTTTTTCATCTTCCATCTACGTCTCCGTATCAGGATGAGTTTTCAGGCTTACATTTTATGTAAATGAGGTAGAAACAAGTATTTGAGTTGAAGTCTCGATCACTTCACTAGATGAGCTTAGAAAAGCGTAGAAGCAAGTGTCTGCTCCGTGAAAACATCTGGTCACGTTGTTGCTAAAAGTCTAATCTTCTTGTGATTTGGCCCTATTGTTAGGTGCCTGCTAGTATTCGCTAGTAATCTTCAACAAGGGCCAACTCTATCCGTTATTTCTACGCAGCTTCGGCTCGTTTTATTTTAGTTAGTATTACATTAGTTTCTTATTTTCTAAAGCACAGGTGGAGGCTTAATGTAAGCCCGAGAAGGGGTCATCTGTCAATTATTTTCAGTTGGATAAAGGGTAAATTTAACAATTCTTCGGACTGTTTCCTGAATAGAACTCTGCAATTAGTCGCTACATAATTCCTCGATATTAGAGCTCTCAAGAACTACTAAATTAGCTAGGATATTACAATTTAAATGGTAGACTTACCATAACAGCCTACCTTAAAACTATTTCAATATACATATTTATTTTTATATTATATTTTTTATACTCTTTTAAAGTTTTCCTTTTAAAATCCTTAATTGTACATTCTTCAACGTGTCATACATTTCTAAATTGCACTTTTTTAAGCATTATAGAGTTTTATCTATTAAAAATCAGAAGAAATCGATTTAAGAGAAGTATTTATGACGTTATTTTCAAACACGCAAATAAATAATTTTTATAGACGTAAGACTTTCGAAAATGCTACACAGTCAAAGATCTTCTTCTGCGTTTTACCTCCCAGATGTTTTCACGGTTTAATGTTCTTAAAGAATAATGTTGGAAGCTTACATAATTTCATTATTCTTTAGAAAATTATGCATGTGTTTTGAAGTGATATTTTGTAAGTAGTATTGACCTTTTCCTTAAATAACAACCAGTTAGTATTGAAAAAACGCATCATAATATATTACCTTGTCATAGAAACTAGTCTGAGCAACAGACTTTTAATTAATATATATACGGAATGAAAAATTGGGCAATGTGTAATAAAAATTTTGAGTAGTAATTCAAGTTTTAATGATAATTTTAAATTCATGGGCAGTTCTGTTTGCCAGTTCATGTTGTAAGGTATTTCTCCCGCTTTTCTAGCTTGCCTTCGTGGTGTAGTGGTTCTGCACGCTGGGCCGGTATTCCAGAGGTCCGTGGTTCGATTCCTGGCGAAGGCGTTTTTTTTTTTTTTTTCGTTTTTCCTGCTTTCAAAAATATACCTAATGTCTCTACAATGCAACTTCATGAACTAACATTCTTCTAGAATATGAAGAATTACAATGTAAAATACATTTTAATTTTACAAAAAGTAAATTAGAATAATTTCTGTGGAATTATAAATTTATATAAAAGTGTGCTCAAAGCTCACATTTAAAAAAAGTGTCTACTTTGTTTTGCTTCCTTTTAGTTTCTACATTCGATGACGGTGTAGAGGGCAAAATATATGCTTTTCTGTATTTTTTATACTTTTATGAAGAGCCTACTCAGGAGAATTGGAAGTATCCGAATAGAAATCGTCGAAGAAATATATCAGTGAAAAATTACCGCTTTGTGTAAACTATAAGGAGTGGCTAGTTCTGCTGTTTTCGTTCACTCATGTCTCGAAATATCAACCGATTTTTCCCATTCATATACTTTTATTCTATGTATCAATATTAAAAAGATTTTATCTCATGACCTTTAATCAGCTTTTTCCTTCTTAGACTGAAAAATGATTTTCAACTACGTAAATTCGTCGAAAGTATTGGAACGCATATCAAAATTATGCTCATTTAGATTATTGCGAATTTTTAACGACGGTGTTTTTGAACCGCTTTATTTGTGAAGACGATGTTTTAAAGCTGTGACGTTTTTTCTTTGGTTTCTTTTCTTCTACGATGTTTTCGCCTTGCGTTGTTTTCTCACAACGTTTTCGTCCATGATGTTTTTGCCCGCAACTATTTCAGTTATCTGTTTCAGCTTCTCTTGAATATAATTATTCATTTTCGCAGATAAGCTAACTGTAACTGGTATATGAATTTTACTTTTTTCACCAGTGAAACCTCCCTAACATAACTTCCAATGCTTTCGATCTTCTACGATAATCTTCGAGAGTATGTTGATGTTCACTGGCATTATTTAATTACGCTTTCAAAAGTAATTGTTACTTTTAGGGATGATTGTTGTCTTAAGGAGGTTGTCACTGTGAAAGGCTTCACTGTGCATTATATATATATTATATCTGCAAATATGTTCATTTTAAGTGAACGTTTATGTTATATATTTTTCTTTTTCCCTTCAAGCCGTCCAGTTGTCTGAGTGATCACGAGGAGGAGAGCATATACTGCCTGTATGAGGTTCCCCCGAACTTCGCTATCGAGACCCCGTCCTCTGCCAATGCTGTTGCTGCCGATCCCCTCAGAACGTCAAGGCAAAGGTATGTAACCTTTCTACACATACATTTAAAATATTTTTGCAATTATAATCCTCAAATTTTTATTTTGAAATCTTCAAAATACAGTTCATATTTTAAGAAATGGATCTTTTACAGTCTTCTAAGACGAAATGAATTTCGAAAAAAATTCAATCTTGGTGAATTGCCAACGCTGGCAACTATGCCAAAGTGCCAAGTTTGTAAAAATCGCACTATTAGTTTTTAAAAAAATTAGCTCCTCCATGTTAATTGAATTTGGTATATATTTATTAATATAACTTTTTTTTATTAAACTTATTTGATTCTTCCTTTTACATTTCGAAATTTAGTTTCATTCCAAATAAAATTCGCCCATTTTTTATGATCTTTTTTTAAAATTTGTATTTTTAAGTAATTTTTATAATTTTTTTGAGAAAATTTTGAATTATAACCTATAAAATTTTACCATCATCTTAAAGCAGATGTATTTCTAAGCATACCTGAAAATAATTAGAATTTTTTATTCAAAATTTCCTAAGATATTCGTGAATTTATATATTGGCGCGTTTTGAAATTTGGCATCTTTATCGTAAGCGATAATGACGCCAAATATGATTTACGCACTTAGCTAAAATTATTTGAATGTATGAACGATGACATTTTTTCCTCTCGTGTATAATAAAAAAAAAGGAAAGCAGAATAGGTTACTATAAACGAAGAAGTTAGCCAAGGGAATTATTTTTGGCCCAAATTGGAAAAGAAATGCGCCAAGATAAATTTTTTAATTTCTCCATAAATGTCTCACCAAAAATTACAAAATTTAATATTTAGGCATAATTTGAGTCGTAGAATCGAAAAACGTAAAAAAATCGGTATGTTATTTCAGAAAAAGTCCGGTTTTGTGTCAAAATACCTATGTTAGAACAGTGCTATATATAAATCTAATATATATCTCAAGTCGCGGTTTCGAGACATGGAAAACGCAAGTTAAATTTCGACAATCGGTTCAGTAGAGCAGTGGTATAGAACTTTTTATTTGTTTGTTTTTTGTTATTGTTTTGTTTTTTTGTGCAAAGTGTACGCGTTAGACTCTTAAATCCTACCAAAATGTATGTAATTCTATCAAAATTCTGAGAACCATTGATATTAACTATTTAAATTTTTACCTTAACTGAACTCAAGCTATAATTACAATAACTTTTGTCATTTAGAAATTTTTGCAAAATAGTGACATTTTATTCGACAAACCTGTTCTGATCGTATAAATAAATATACATCTAGTTAAGAATGAAGAATCACTCGTACCAGTAGTTGGCGATTTTCTAACAGTATGCATTATTTATTTTTCTAATGAGCTAAGTCACGCGAAGATGGATAGAAAGAAACTTCTTTAAAATCATATCAATAAAATATTCGTAATTGCTTGCAGCTTAATAATAATTGGCAGACTACGATTAGCGCCAATAATATTTCAATCAAGCTTTAATGTGAATCAAACTTTTTTTCATTTTTGAAAAAGCGCAAAACTTTATGTGAACAATAAAATATTTTCCATTTATTTAAGAAGCATGCGACTGGCATATTTTTTGCTGTACTTCCTTCAAACTTGTTTCTTCGAATTTCATTAGAAATGTATTTCTCATTCATTCAATTCAGTTCACTCAAAAAATGCATAAAACTCAAAATATTTTTATTAAAAATTGTAAAATACAGAAACGTCTATAAAACGCCAAATACGGTTAAAAACAGTTAAATCTTTCGCAATTAAAACTAGAGTTTCTCCGCCATAACAAGCGATTAATTAGGCCAAGGTGCAGTAACACAAAATTTTAGGTGCATACAAAATTAAAGTTACCTTCTGATCTACTGGGAAGAAAAATACTGAGGTTCTAAGGAAACTTTTAAATTGTTCATAATTTTACAGCTGTTGCATGCAGATTAACTAAACGCATGAAAACCTTAGTCGGAACGCAAGAATAACATAATTCAGTCACTTTTAAAACAAAAAATGTACAATTTACCAACAAATAAGAATAAAAACAGAACTCAGCGAGCCGGGTAAGAGAGTGCGTCTCTCTCTTTCTGTCCATCTGCCATTCGCAGGGTTTTCTGCATCTCAGGATGCAATCAATGTAGTACTGCAGGGACAGGATTTCTCTTGTTTCTGTGGGCGATCCGAAAAGACTCCTGGAGTGTTTCCATAGGCTTCTATTAGCGAGATTTCAACTAAAGCCTGCTGTAGTCTTTTAAAAACTTTCCAAAGTGTAGCTCCAACGCGCCAGATAGAATTTTTAAGTCTAACCTCTATTTTTCGGCTGAGTATGGAGGGTATCCACTGCGTCTGCTCTCAGAGATGACACTTCTGTGAATTCCATCAGTCCCATCTAGAATCCCATCAGTTTGCGTTTGCCACTATAGAAAACTGAGTCTTATACGCTTGCCAGAAGATCTTTCCATCATACGTGGATAGGTTTTGAGACAGTCGGGAAGACATAGGTTCGAATTTAAAGAATTCAGAATTGTGTCCAACGATCATTATGAATTTCTTCAAACTGTCAACTTCCTTGGTGACAGCGGCAGAAACTCACTCGTCGATTTCTTGTTTGACAGTAGAAAATCATTCTTCGATTTGTTGTTGGACAGCAGAAACTCTTTCTTTGATTTGTTTTTAGATAGCAGAAACTCTTCTTCAGTTTTTTTCGAATTTATTTTTAACAGTGTCTATTCTGCCTTCTATTAGCCTCGAACGTCTTTTCTACTATGGCAGTAATATCTCTTTTCATTTCCTCCTGACCTCATTCACTCTTTCCTGAGTCGCTTTCATCTCTTCTTTAAATGCAGCAAAGGCTGTCACTAGTCGTCTAGTCGTCTGAATTACTCTAGCATCGCTCGTCACCGGCACTTAGTCCCACTTCTGACACCACAAATTGTTACGTGCGGACGGGATCGTAATGGACTGAATGCAACGTAACCTAACAATGATAACTTGATAAAATTTATTTTCCCGAAAGAAACACTTTTTGTTTCTTGAACTTTTCATCTTCTCAGTGTGCCAGAGCACAACCAGCATTGTTCTTGTTGCAATGCAAGCCGAATTAAAACACCTTACGCCCATTGAGTACGATGAACTATTTTGGTCAAAGGGCATTTGAGTAAGAAGCTTTGATCAGAAACAGATGTCAATGATGTCAGGAACACCTTATTGGTCAGCTTTCTCACCAACTGAGCTTATTGTTCGCTTTTATCAAGATGGTTCTGTTAGGTCAGCTTTTACAGAAAGTTTGAGCTATGCGAAATGGTGCAGCGTACACTCAATGACAAATACCTAATGAGGTACGCTACCAGCGCATCCAAAAACGTTTAAACTAGTGTGTTTTGTTGCTCCTAGATAAGTATTAGGTAATTTTTTTTTTTTTTTTTTTTTTTTTTTTTTCAATTCAAACAGAACTACCTTATGAGATTTCTCACAAATGTTTTGAATACAGAACAAATGGCATACAAGGTATATAAAATATATTGATAGAACATTCGTAAAACAATGTAGAGACATTAGGATTTTTGGAACCAGGCAAGATGAAAAATTAGCAACGCCTTCACCGGGAATCGAACCGAGGACCTCTCATTTACGCTCAGCGTGCAGAGTATACACCACGAAGGCTCGCTAAGAAGGCGGGAGAAATACTTTATAACGACATGTAATTCTTTTCAAGGGGTAGCTTATTTTTCTTGTATGAAGTGGTTCAGCAATTATTCCAGTACTTTTAATTCAGTGTTTTTAAGGTTAAACCTAATTTTAGACCTTAGCTGAAACACTTGTTTAAATTTCCCTTTAGCTATGACTAAAAATTTGTAAGCTAAATCATCTTTACTTACGGGTTAGAAAAACAAATAACAAACTAAATAAGTAGTCTCCCGGCTCCTAACTATTCACGATCGCTAAATATAAATGCTGGCAAAAGACAGAAAGTTGATCAAAACCAGAGCAGGTAATCAGGGGCATCGACTATGGGAGATAAAGGTTGAGTTGCCGAAAATCTCTCTTCGAATTTACATTTTGGATCTTCTATTTAGCCACCCATCTAGTTATATTCCTAGTGAAGTTGATAGAAGAAACAGGAGTGTAGGACAGATTTAACATAAAAATAAGGTTTTAATTTTAATAACCCTTACATATTAAACCCTATTTGAAATAGTACCATTCTATATATAAGTGAATATAAATCTTTAGCTTTCTTGTAAAAAGGAAGGAATGGAATCTATTTCTGTAAGGCAATTTATGAGAAAAAAGTAAATATTATTATGATGATTCGAATTCCTCCAGTGCGAATTTCTCATCAATTGAATTTCATCTGAGCTTCCCCGCTCATTATTATCCCTTCCCATATTCCCTTTTTTTTTTCGACGTTTCCGTTCTCTCTACCGGAGATGACAAATTGATTTTCCAAATTTTCGCAATCAAAGGTTTCTTCATCCCACACACGTCGGTAAGAAATTCCCTTCGGCAGAGTTTTTGAGCTGTTGGTGAAATATTATTCCATTTTTGTGTCTTTGTTGGGGATTTTTTAACAAAAGAATAATGCTGCTGCCGTTATTGCCAAATGAAAGCAAAATCAAAGCATTGAGCAATCTTTTATTGGTGTTTACTTTTCATAAGCCTCATATAAGATTTTGAAACATATACTTTTATTCTTGCAAAAAAACATTGCTTTCAAATCACCTGTTTTAGTATTCTAGACACGTACAGTATAAAACTGGGATTTTTTTCCTTTCATCGAAGGGAAATTTGAAATTATTTGTATAATATATGTAAGTTTATTTTATTATTGTTTAAAATATATTCACAGCTATTGTGTCTTGTTCTTTTTTAAAAACATAACAATTGTAAAGGAATACATTTTAACACATGCATACATACACTTTAACACAGAACAAGAGCATAGAGACTGTAAGTGTATGTACAAATTGCTTAGAATATAATATTTTCTTGGAATATGTGATCTGGATAAGCAGAAAATACTCAGATTAACTAA